TACGTATTTATCATTCTCGTATTTTCGTTTCTCTGTGATAATCATATATTATCGTTAAGTTTTCACGAGTTTATGTATATATTTTTTTTTGCAATTTTTCAATTTTCATCGTCTGACAAAATAGATAGTAAATATTTTGGTTTGCAAAGTTTAGCACAACGGTAAAGATTTTTTTTATACTTATATGCCAATATTTCGCAGGAATTGCAAGGCAATCGAGATTAATGAATTTTTCATTGTTATGCACGACTTTTACGTACATTTATGTAACATTGATTCATTCGACAAACTTGTCACAGGTTCCGACCTTCTGCACTTGTCCTGCACTTGTCCTCGGTACGCGTCTATTTATGAATTTGTAATACTGAAAGTCGGTTTGATGAAGTAACAATGAAATCACATATCTACCATATGCGTATGCTCCAGTTATTTCACTGATGAATTTGACTTTTGAATTCACCTATACATATGTTCATGTTTAACTAGCGTAACCAGCGCTTCGGTTCACACAAATCTTAATAATTCTTTACTTGCTTTCTTCTTCTTCTTCTTGTTCCAGATCCTTTACTTTAATTCCTTAAGAAGATTGGAGCGCTTCGCGCCAGTCAAATCAGTGCTAGATTTTAGTAATCGTTTTTGTAAATTTCATGCATCATGTAACATCGGTTGAGTGTCATTTGCATCACCTTTATTCGCGTCCTTAATCTAGAGAAACATTCATAGCGATGAATTTACAATAATACTACCTGATCAGTGCCGATTTCCGAACAGGTACATTTTTTTTTCAATTTTTTCTAAAAATAATCCGTAATTCTTTAGGTTCAAATGTGGTAGTGAAATAAACTTACATTAGCAATAGCAATAGATTGGTTACAGGTACAAATATTTTGATAGCACAGACGACGTTACTGCAGGAACCCCTGTCAAAACCTTGCAGGCTCTTTATTATAACGGGAAAGCCAGATTAAATTTATTCTCGGCGTATTGTCTAATTTGATTTTGTAAAGAATCGAAGAGTACTTGTGCTTTATCATCTTTATGTACATAAGTAGCTAGCCTACTAAATAGAAAGGCAGTTGCTGCAACTTCGTGCAACTGATATTGTAACTTAACAAAAATCGATTTACTACTTATAGATCCAGCGTTAGTCTGGCGACGATTGCGGTTAAAAGTGGCACGACTTTTCTCAAATAACAGGACCGCATAAATATGAGCCTGTTAACGATGCTGTAATGCCATTTTGCTGTAGACCATGTGTTTTTTTCCTTTTCATAAGGTTGGAAGCAGTGGAATCGTTAGCAAATGACACGTGGTTTTTCATAAAATAATATAAATCTTAAAATGGAAAAATAATATATATTTAATGCAAAACCATGTATATGCTGTGACGTGATTTTGCAATTCACGGTCATAAGCCGACTCCAGCTACCGATTCAGATAACGTTCTCACTTTCTGATGTCTACAGTCTCACTGTGTGTCACTTTCTTACTCACTTGATTCGTACAGTTACGCATACTCTTGGAAGTTCAGCTTGAGGTGTTCGAATCTTCCGCAGAGAGATAGTCCCGACGTACCGAATTGCCCGGCAGAGTAGTGTGTCCGACAGAGACGAACGAAGAAAAATTATTTAGTCGTTGCAGCTATAACAGCTGTAACAGCATTTCATTTTGTGAGTCCAGCAACTAATTTGCACTTTCAGGAGATCAATTTTCATCGAGTAAATCGCGTTATTTTTCAACGTGGCTGATGACTGTTAACTTTATCTATTTTCGTCTGATGTAGCCTGTATCAGTTGGAAAAGTACAGAGAACTGTATACAAGGACATCCTCTGTTGCAATATTACTTCTTCAAATTGAAGTCGTGAGATTTACTACAAAGCTGGGTAAAAGATGCAATAAACACAGAGTACGCTATTAAGACTTTTTTTTTTAACACTGGAATAATAATAGCAGCCGCCAACATCTGTATGTGGTGTCCTTGCTTACTGCCTCCGAGATTTCTTACCGACCGTCAACTTATATATCAACTTATGCAACTGTAATTATTTCGGTCGGGAAATCTGAATCGGTTAAAGGCGAGAATTGTATTGGCACTGGATATATGCAAAATACAACACGATGTTTTTCTTAGAATTCCAAGATGCGTGGTCGGGCCTCTTAATTTTTTCCTCACATCAAAACCAGGACAAGCAAGCATCAATTTAAATAGCTACAAGAAATTATGTTTACAATAAAGCAGTAGAATAACAAGTACGCAATTAAAAGGCAATTGCAAGTACTATGCATTACTAGGACAGCCGATTCAATTTTGTGTGTAAAGTATTTTACCTATAGAAGAAAGAGAACATTAGAGAACGCTACTCGCTGGTCGCCAATGTACTATTTGAAAAAAAAAAACTATTCTTCAAACTTTTAATTATTTTAAATATTTATACGAAATGGGGCAAAACAGAATAGGACAAAGTTGAAAATAAAGTAGGCGCTTTTAGGGTTCTTGCAAAATCTCTTAACTACGTCTGGACCCGGAAGATGAACGATTTCCACTTCCATTTTTTGGCCAAATCGTCTAGGTTGACTATAGCTATCATAAACGTACGAGTCAAACAAGTACCAGTTCACAATTTCTACCAAGATATAATAGGAATAGAATAATATTTATGAAAATTCAGTGTTTTCCACTGTGGCACTACAGTGCAACGTTGTGCACCTGCAGCATCTAAAGAGGGACGCGATATTGTTTTAAAATTCTTAAATTTATATTTTAATTTGTAAAAGTTTTTAGTCAGTGGACGTTGTACTCCCTGAAGTTCTTAGCGGTTAGTTAATTTCGAAAAGTTGTTAAATTATTAACATGCTGCATGCATGATTGTTCACAATCAATATCGAAATCATTTATCGATTTCCACAAGATGATTTGATTTTACGTCAGTAGAAAGACTATCCAGTGCCATGAACGTTACGATAAATATGGTTATGTGTAGATACTTGAAATACAGTTCGAATTAGTTCGCTTTCTATGAAATGAAGTTACGTTTCCGGGCACAGGCTATCCTTTCGATAACTCGATAATTGAACTTGGTTCTCGGAACTATACGACTATTGAAGCGATAATACTGTGAGATATATTTAACAGAACGAGTACATTAAACATACAGCATAGTTTTATACAGCTCTTCTTTGTAATAGTTCGGTAATGAAAATTCATGAAAACCTATTAAGACTAGTGTGAGGTGGGTGACGAAGATTGCTCGTATAATTTCTGTGCTTTGATCGCAGGGTATCATTTGCATAAGTATTGTGAGCCAGTACCGCCTGTTGTTCCACATTCTTTTGCTAACTCGTAATAACGCGCGCAAGGCCCTCTTTCTCAAGGATGAAATACCTTCGAGTAATCCTTGCACGTCAATTTCTAGTTAATCTATTTTCTCCTTTACAATTTAAAGCTCTCTTTCATTTCTAAGATTATAGAAATTAACTCGAATAGCAAACTTGACTGATCCTTATGGCATGCATCTATTTATAAAGGAAGGCCAATCTAGAAGTCAAATGATATTATCCATATGGAATTTTGGTAGCATTTGTTTTACTCCAGTACCATTTTCTCTGATGCTATGCTGCTCGCAATATTCTATAGGCATTTGCCGACTGGCTTCAGTCTCGTCGATGCCATCGGGAAAGAAACGCGAGAGAGCAAGTTTAGAGTTTCTAAGTGTTTACCGTTTCTGATAGAATTTTGTTGGTAGTGATTGACAAGCAACGTGTAAAAATTCTTACTGTGCACACTTACTTTATTTTTGCTAATAGCCTACAAATATGCAAATTTCTTTCAAGCTTTCATCTTCCACATAGTCATAACGCACAGACATAAAAGGGATATATAAAGTATATGTACGCAAGGAAAGTGCCAGGAAATGCCTTCTAAGAAACTAAGAATGCGCTGAAGCAACGCTGTTTACGTCCGAATTTACGGAGCATGCCTGCTTGGTGTTTGGCTCTACCGCGTTTTAATAATGCATCGAATATTCCTTACATAATTGGAAAGCGTGCGTGATTTTCATGTTATAATACTGAGTTAATGTGCGGTAATTAAAGTGGCGATGCCCGTTCAGCAGGATGAAGGTATTAGCGTAATAATCGGAATTTCTTTCGTTTTTTTTTTTTTTCATGAGCTGCCTGCACAAACGATATATCTAGTAGGCTATTTCCTTGGCGTTCTACGCATGTGTAGACGCGAGGTTGAAATGAATGTATTTTATTTAAAAAAGCATTAAGTTTGTTCTATTCATGGTAAATTTCTAACCGAAGCAAGAATGTGAAAAAAATTCTATTAAATGCCGCACTGAGAGTCATCAGATAATAAAATTCCTAAATCACCGTCGTTACACTTTTTTCAAGACACTGTTTCTCTATATTGTCCTAATCATCCACTATTTCAACTGTGTGAAAAGAGTGCTTGACACGTTAAAGCAATTTTAGATATTATTTTCTTCTGTTGAAAAGTAAAAATGAATTTGTACAATGTTTTTACATTAAGGACCATCAATAAGATAGTCAGGTGTACTGAAAATTTTTACCCACAGCATAACATGTATACGATAATACAACAGATGCAATGACAGCGCTCATTGTGATTTGACAGGTCTTAAATCTTGATCGTTATCAGATGTTATTTTCATAAAAAATGTGGAACACCGGAGCTCTTTATTCTATAAGAAATGATGGAGTATAAATACTTTTTCAATATGATAAAAATAGATGTTCTCACTTTCGATTTCATTGCGCCATCTATGTTTGCCATAGCTTGACGAGTTAGAGGAAGTTGAACAAGAGCTTTACATGAAAATTCCATCTCATATTTCCACAAAATTGACATTTAATGTGATTCTTATATGAAAGTTCTCTTCCGCGATTCCGCAAATTTACCTGAATCGTATTAATTAAAATTGAGCTAATTACACTAAACATCTGTGTATATATTTTTTCATAATAATTATTTCAGAGAACTTGGCACCGTCGGAGTTGAAGAAGCTGAGAAACAAACAAAGAAAGCAGCGCAGGAAGGCAGAGCTTGAAAGGCAGCAGGCTGCCCAGGCCCAAGAGAAGAGGGAACAGCATAATAAATCTCGACAACAGACTGATCCCGACCTAGAGCAACCTACACTGGATGAACTTATCCCAGAGAAATTAGAACGGGTAAGAAAAGCTTTCAAATTATTACTTCATAAAAACATGCGCTTCCATTAACCCTTTCGCTGCCACGGTGCTTCCATGGAACCGGCGCTTATCTTTACATTTGGACCACGGTGGTCGCGGGTGACCACGACTAAGAAAAATGTGCTATTAGCAGTTCTTTGCCATAAAATTGTTAATACGAAATTTGTATTGTGGCCCACTGATGCAAGTTCAAAAAATCGCGTGGCATGGAAAGGGTTAAAATTGCAAAATTGAAACATCCAAAACCTTGATAATCTTCAAGAAAACAAATGGGTGTAGTTCCGAAAAGCGCATAACTCCGAAAAGTATGGGTCTTTGTATTCTAAAGTATTTTGACGTGCTGATGACGAATGTAATAGTGAAAATACCCGCAAAATTAATTAAAAAAATTAATTAACTGATCCTATCGGTGAACCACTTCATTTACACACAACGATACATGATATTAATAATAGAAATGAAAATTCAACAGGCGGAAGACCCCTTGGAACAAGCGATTAAATTCTTGCAACCGCTGCAGCAGCTTGCATCGAATAGAATAGAAACGCATCTCATGGCTTTCGAGATATATTTTCGTAAAGGTAAGGGACAAAGATACATTTATCGAACTGGATTACAATGTGGTGGTAAATGAAAGGTTGTCAATGAAAATCATATTTTGTCAGACGTTTATTTAATAAAACATCCTCCACGTGCTTGCAGGTCGGACACTCTTGATGCTTCAATCGATTAAACGTGCTCATCAATTGGACGCGAACAATCCCGATCTTCATGCATGCTTGGTACGCTTTCTACAGCATACTGGAGCTTCGCAGCTGGAGGGCGCTGTCGCGGAAGTTGTGAAACGTCAAACGAGCGGAATATTCTCAAATTCGGACGCAGTCCAACTAAACGCCAATTACTTAAAGATGAATAACAAGTCACTGCCGCATCTACTCCAAGGTGCTCGAATGCTCTATCTCCTGGATCCGAGCGCTCAAGCGAAAGCTCTTTCATTGATTACGAATATCGACGGCTCAGAAGGAGTCAATCTGGAGAACTGCACGAGGGTGCTGGAAGCTCTGCGCAACGGTGACCTTGGTCAGTGCGATTCATCGATATCCAGCTACACCGCGAAATGTGAAAAACATTTTCCTTACGCGACTGCATTTCGTCCACCTGAGCCGAAGTCCATCGTAAATCATCAGGACAAGGAAAATTCGATTAAGAATTGATCCTGGCATACATTATCCTGCGTCACCGATCTGCGATCTGTAGTTAGGGAGTGAAGCGTTTGATCTACGTTAAAAACACGTAAAGTACGACTAGAATTTATACAAATTGGCGGATAATTAACAGATGTAAGCATGTACTATACATAAACTGTTCCTGGTGAGTTTCATGCAGTGAGCAGTGCTGGGACAGTGCTGGATAAACAATCTTAACAAATTAATATGACAAACACGAGCCGTGTTCCGGCGCGGTCAAGAGTTAAAAAAAAGGACAGCATAGCTAAGATTAAATAATTATTGAAACGGATAAAGCGCTCCTCGAATCTCGAGGGTCTACAATACTAGAGGAAGGCCAAGAGTGTGGAATGTTTAGTGTACATGGTGCAGTGTGTAAAATAAGGCGTGCGAGACTAACATTGGTACAAAAAGACAAGACTTGAATACTTCATACACATGCTTTGCGAATATTTGTACTTGATATTAAAATGTAATATCTCCAGCGATGCCTAAATGCCACTCTACTGTGTAGAGTCACAACACACTCAACGGAAGTCAAGCACCAAAATTGTACCCCTTGCGCGTCCATCACGCTTTCTCCTTCGGTGACTTCGTTTTACATCGCGTACTACTATCCGGTTTTTTTAACCATAAGCCGTTGATCAAGACAGACGTGTAATTGGGTTTTTAAAGTATACACATAAAACACACACAATACAATATAGACGCTTGTACACTCACACACACACACACACACCAACAAAGTCATATATTTACAGACGAGAAGGAAAGAACGAAAGAATGACAGAAAGAAGAATGTAGAAAGGCAATAGATAGAGGGTGATAGAAAAATCCACTCTTCATGTCCGTGTTTTCATTATCTAGTGACGACATAGAAATTTGATCACTCGATACTCCTTTAATATTCTCTGCGAATGATACGTATCGGCGGTGAAGAAATGACAGGGGCTCTCGCCAACCACTGCATGCGGTAATCATTGCGAAAATGAGAATTTGCGTACATCATACGCACACTACCATATCTGTGAACCAAATTGATAGATTCGAACATCTGTACGTGAGAATAAAAATTACAGAAACCTTGAAATGAATTAACTGCAAGACTCTCAACGTAAATGTACAATTATTTTGCGAATTTGTAGGTTCCTGTAATAATATAAATATTCAAAGAACACATCCTTGTTCAAGACTCACAGGTCTCTCAATACGTTCTTCGTCGCTTCAATGATCGGTTTAAATTCGTTGTATATTTACAATCAAGGAAAACCATCCCGTTTGTAATTAAAATGAAATATCTGCTGTACGAGCGAACCAAGCGATTAATATTGTACAGCGATACAAGTACAAGCTATCTGTACGTATATAGTGGTTTTTATTAATATGTTCCTACAAAATAACTTCCCTTTGGAAACAAAAACGCGATTTTTCGTAAACCCAATCATCGTCATGTGCGCTAATGGTCCGTCACAAAGTAATGTTATTACAACGTAATAATTATCGGAATATTAAATTAAAACGATAAGCTACTGCAAGACGTTTACAATGCTTCCCCTGCCCAACAATTTGAGATAGCGATTAAAGGCTTATCTTCAACTTTCGACTTACACCTGTGACACATTCTTTTTAGTCTTTTTAAAGTCCTTTCCACACTATTTTTTTTTTTTTTTTAATATTGTGATACCTGTAACGACTGTCAAAAATGTGAGTTGTTCGAACTCACGTTCGATGGAAAAAATATGAGTTTAGCAACTTTTACAACCTTCAGAAGAAAACGACTACCTTGCTAAAGAAAAGTCAGTGTGACTTTTTCACATATAGTTTTGATCCTTTCTTAGCACGTCGAGTGAAGCGCCGATTTTGCTATCCTTTCCGTTTAGCCGGCAGCGAGCGAGCAAATCTTGCTATTAGTCCCGTTTGACTGATGTCGCGCTCAACGCGTTAATCGTACCTAATCCTAGAATACGTATCATATTTTGTGTATACGTTCATACCTATTGAAGGATTTGTCATACTTTGCCATTTTGGTGTAATTTTCGGATTTTTTATTAATCACCAAGAATAACACCTATGATAAACAAGAATGTGTATGCACATTTTAGTGTCGATGAATATTTCTGGAGCTGTGCGCGGTAGAAAAATAGACACATTTAGAAAACTATGGCAAATGTATTAGTTTACTTTTTGCCTACATATCATTTTCTATGCGAGGAAATGTAAAAAGACTTTCAGATTCGTTAACTATAAGAGAAAACAAGTCATGAAATAATTCGCCGAAAAAAGTCAAATTCTTTTTAACGGGTTTTAAAATGAATTTTCGATTTGTTGCGAATCACAAGATGCCATGTGTAGAAAGATCTCTAGGGATAATTTGGGCGGTATTCAATGTTTTTTTAATGTTTTTTTTTTTTTAATCGATACGTCAGACTGATAAACAAAAGTATCAAAGAAAATTATATACCTAATAAATATTTTCGAATCCGCAAGCTGTTGTCGTAAGGGATAATATTGTTTGATCTTTCAATCAAAAAGTTTAAATCAAATTATAACGATCTGTTCTTACATTGTCCACATCAACAGTAACTGTGCAACATAGTTTTCTGGTAATTAATATTTTTATTTTTTTTAAATCATTGTTATCGGACATGAAGATAAAATATTTCTTCTCTATAGTCAAATAGAAACTATCGCTAACTTTGAGATTGCAGAAAACGAATGCATAGGACAATGTAAATATAATTTATTGAGTCTCACGAATTCCACCTACCAGTAGCTATTTCATATATTTTTTCGGATACGGTGATCAGAACATTCTTTAAGCATTCTGAAAGGCAAAAAAATCTCTTAAGTAAATGTATTTTATTTTTTGATATACTATATTTTTATCATTTTGTCTGGCATATTCTGTTAACTATGTTAAGTATAATTATTGATGTTGCAATTTTCATGAAGTATGGGATATTCAAAATCAGACTCGTTTAAATGAAATGTACCATCTTTTAAGTAACGACAAGTCATATAAATCGAAATTGCAGTTGTTTTATATACCTAATATTATTCCTAACTTATTGCTACGTTTTGTCATTTTCCGATAGATTGTTCTGTTCGTGTTATTTATTTTTAAAAAATCCATTTTAATAGCAGAATTCTCGTTCTGCATTTGTACCTATCATTAATTATATTTTACATGTAAATAATTAGAAGTTTATCTTTTTCAGGATGCAAGTAGTGCACCATAGGAAGTCATATCTCCGAGTGCTATTGAGTCTTTAAAAATCTCCGTAAAGACTCGACATACAAAAATAATAAGTAAGATAGTAATAAACTTTGTTTATTAACAACATCTTTTGTTTCTACAAACATTTCTTCAATGAGAACTTGTAGTGGGCGATGGTGCTGATTGTTCCATTTCATTCCAATCGATCTCACTGAAATTTATTACAATTTCCTTGTTCTTTGGGGTGTACTGCCTGCAAAACAACATTACCGTTTTTATCAAGCGCTTTTATGACAAGTTTAAGACCACAATCTACTTAGATCACGCAGTTTTTCAGATAAGTATAAAAACCGTTTTCTGTCACCACAATGCACATTTATATAAAAATATTTCAAACAACACATTCATACAACACCATTTTACATAAAGAATTATGCTTAGAGCTAGTATATTTCTATTCAACACTCTAAACCAATCCATGTCAAACAATATGCACATTAACGACTTATTAGAGATACAGTCCTGTCAACCAAGTGCCAAAGTGGACAACATATTGATTACAACCATTTAAAACATTTATATTACTATAACCGAATTTGCTAATAATTATTGTTTAAGAAACAAATTATTAACGAAATTATAAAGAAAAATTATTAAGAAAGGTCGTTTTTTTAATTAAAAGTTTCCTATTGGGGCTAATTTTATATCTCGTTTTTTCTTTTTTAGTGAAGATTTACAGCGGTGTGAACGATCTGATTTGTCACAGATTCTCTCATTGGTTACTTAAAAATATCATCCAATAAGAATTTATACTTTATGAAAAGTAGAGAACAAGTAGGTAACGAGAACAGATCTATTGGTGTAACATAACTCCACGAGTACTCCAAGTGTATATGCGGCTTTATATATATGTATAAAATACGCTACATGAGATTTGTATGTTCGTTCCCATTAGTTGTTCAAGTGTTTAATGAAAAGTTGCATGATTTCAAGAGGAATAAATAATATACATATTATGCATTGCGTTAAAATATGCTACTAAGTGGTAGCTAGTTTTACTGTTGAACATCCATTTTTGATAGTCTCACAAATTGTTAACTCAACTGGCTGTTAATTAAATATCGATAGATTCATTCTAATTCCTATTTCGAGATTAACCAAAAAAAATAACTCGTCCCGCGTAAAAATAATAAATTTGACTTTGGTACCAACGGAAGAACTTGTGCCTTTTTAATGAAATATTGTCTGTTTTTAGAAAAACCAATATTCAACTTATTAGACTGAATTATGCATTCTTACACTATTCTGTATACGTTTGACATATTCAAAGCTATTACATTTTATAGGAAACATTAATTGGCGAACTAATTTGTAATCAATACTTGGTGAATTCTGTAAAATAAAGCATCTTTATCTTATAAGCTATAAATAAGCTACGTAAATGTTCATTAAAAAAGTACAAAACAAGAGTAATATATATTTGAATATTGTTACTGTGTTTCATCAATTTATAAGACTATTACCAAGTCTTCTATTATCACTATCATTTGCGATTCAAACGAATATTTCAGAACAAAAATGTCACAGCAAACATTGTAATTAGACAAGGACAGGAGAACCTCCTACGCAATGTCATCTTTCTATCCCGCTGTAGCAGCCACTTACGCGCCAGCCTATCTCTCGCGTGGTCTAATTCTTATATGTTTATGGTGTACCTATCACGCACTGTCAATGCCAGTTATGTTCTACGAGTCGAGCAAGCAGCATTTGAAGATCGCTGTGGGTAGTAACTACCCCAGTTGTTCGAGAGTGATTAAAGAACAGTGTTTTCATAAACTATAGAATTTTTATAATTTTTAATTCTTGGGGACAACAAGAGTATTTAGAACTGGAAAAAAAATAAGCAATCATAATTGTGTAGACATCAAGAGACTCCGTCGAGTCTCGTACCAAATACAGGCAACCGGTTGTATGTACATACATACAGGGCACGGACCGTCGAACTCTTTACCCGAGTCAACTCCTTATATACCTGTGTTTGGATCAAACATCTGATGACCGCTATATGTCAGAAAAAGTTATTAATACATTCACTATAAGAATTGGAGGTTCTGAATCGATTGTCACCAAGATCAATATGATTAGTGTACGGGATCAGGGGGCATTGATATGGTGAACGAGATGTTTTTATTTCAGTTCCGCTGTCGTCGTCTTTGTCTTTGCATGCGTCCATACGCGATTGAATCCTGCGGCAAGTATGTATACATATGTATACAGGCAACTGGTGGTAGTATGTTCAGTCAACGCGACGAAGTGAGTCAAGTATCTCAGCGGCATTAATGGCGTCCTGCTTATGGACGCCGTGCGGTCAGGTGAGAGGAGAGTGAGCGGTAAGTACGTATCTTGGCCCGTGCGTGCAACGGACAGGACTACGGTGCGAGCGAAACACTAAATCTTCAAGAACTACTTGATATAAATTCGCGTTGATTAGGCTAGTTTTCAAACTCAAAAACGGTAAAAGTTTAATAACAAACATATAGTCTTAGAATACTATTAATACGTTCAAAGTAAGTACTTTTCTAATTCCCCTGGCATGGACCTGCCAAGTATTACTTGACAAGGAATCACCTAGTCTTATTAATTATTGAATAACAATTAAATCATAATTCAGTATAAGCAGGAGTAATATAAAAGAGTAGCGAAAACGTTATAGGAAATTTTGAAAATACAATTAAAATTATGGACTAGTGCTAGATCATATAATAAGCAGGTATGTAGTGACTTATGTACTTGGCATTAACAATATGATTTCAATACTTTTTATTAGATGAATTCGCAGCAATCCTGTACTTGGTATAGTTTTTTACATGTAAATGATTTTTTGGGTATTTTATTTGAATCAGGTAAGCGTGTTAGAAATATGTCCAATTTTAAAGTATTTTATATTATGTGGTGACTGTATCTCCACTCGCTCCTCTGACACACACACGCATTAACACATATGTAACTCGTACTTAGTCTATCCACTAAACTAGGAATTTGCCTAACATGCTTGCTTGCTCTAAATAAAATCTCCAAACATTTATGATAGCTAGATTTTTTCTGTTTGTACTATTTTCTTTTGAAAAAATATTGATTTTATGCCAAATAGTAATACAAGTATGTAACCTTTGGAAAAAACTCATGGCATGCTTTGATTATGCGAAATAAATATACCATCGACCAATAAATATAAATCATTCAATTTTTTTTGTTATGTGCCATAAAACAAAAAGAAACCAATTTTGATTTCTCACAACCATGTTCGTATTTTACTTTATAATTTTTGCACAGAACTATTTTATTGAGTTGAAACTGCTTTATTTGGATTCTATGCTTTCTAACGATTCAAATTCAGCTATTAGAATTTAAAAAATATCAATTTCAACAGATATTATCTGCAAGACTAGTTTGTGGTTAGTATGTCATTCAAGTGTCAAACTTGATACATAAATTTACTGATTTACCCCAAAAATGTAAACAATGATATGATGAAACACAGGTTACAGCATTAAAGAAACAGCTTAAATTTGAGAACATGCTTAATAAATTATTATAGCAAAACAAATAAGCATACCTGTATGTAATTCCAGCAGCATTAAACATTCTTTTTGCTGCAATTGTCCCAATTTTGTGGGCATGTTTATCTGACATGTAAACTATTGAACTTATGCCAGATTGTATAATAACTTTTGCACATTCATTGCAAGGAAACAATCCAACGTACATATCGCAATTTGTAATATCCTGTACATTCTTGTTGAGGATAGCATTGACTTCAGCATGACATACTGAAAGAAATGTTTTTTGTTAATAAATTTTATTATCTATTATAGAAATAGTATATTACATAATAGTATACAAACTGTATATTATTAAAAATTTGTATATCATTATTGCTAGATACAAAACAGAAAGTGAAATTTAAAAATACTATCCTAACATATGTATATTCAACTTATAAAAAACCTTTAAAAACGTTGCAACACACCATAAAGGTATTTTGATTCAAGTTTATTAGATGTATTTTTTTTCCATTGAAATTCATCGTCGCTACATCCTCTCGGCATGCCATTATATCCGATACCTACAATTCTTTTATTTTTATCAACTATACATGCTCCCACCTGCGTTGAAGGATCTTTACTACGTTTTGCAGAAAGGAAAGCGACTGCCATAAAATAGTCCTCCCAATCTAAAGAATTTTCTCTTTTATGACTTATATTCCTGAAAATGAATTACCAAAACATTGAAAACTTAATATTGATGGAAAATTATATAAAGAAATCATTTATAAAAAAATGTCATATTACCTATCTCGTAAAACTAGAGAACTATTTATTTCATTGTCTTCTTGAGAAGCATCAGTTACATAATCATTCATTTTATAAATCAAGAATGATTACCGCAGTGCAATCTAAACAAAAAAAAACCGCTAAACTCAACAGGTGTGATTTTATGATTATAATATGGATTCTTCTTCTTCTTCTTGATCTTCTTTGGCTTTGTGCTCTAGAGATCCAAATGCCAAATCATTAACATACAGCATGGACCAGCATGAACTATGCAACAGAGGAGATAGAGACTGGTGGTGGCCACGGCAGAGATGAGTGTGGAGATGCACAACGCTATGGTTTTAGGTGATACCAAAAACATGGCGCTAAATCGTAGCGACGAATCCAAGAGTAGGATTTTGTGATCATCGCTTCCGTCGGTAATGCATATCCCGCCGTAGCCAAGCTGAAAGTGATCACGAACGTGTAGCCTGGCCGGCAGAGGTTTTCCGCAACTTCCGCTGGTTCCCAGAGCAACCCTTAGCACGAGGTCGCTCATTAGACATTGCCTAAATAGTTTTATTGTAATCTTAAATTCGAGTGTACAGTGTAAGCTGGATAAGATTTACTAAGACAAAAGCCAGCACCTCATGCCTGCCTGCGTTGAGGAGTGCAGCGATGCGGTGCTAGCTTCCACCATTATTTAACAATAGTTCCAAGCGAAACTATGGTCCCAATACTGAGTACTAGAGAGAACTATTTCGGAACTGTTTGAAACATAATCTGAAAATAACACTGAAAGCCAGCTCCTTATGAATACCTGCACTGAAGCATATGGTGCGACTAGTATCCTTAACAGGTATTTTACCGATGTTACGTTCCAGAACTATTGTTAAAACCTACCAGGAACTATAGAACTCCTCGAGAACCATTGAAAAAGCCTACGTTGATTCCTATAGATATGCCAATGCTCTCGTAAGATTTCGTTATTGTTTAGTTGACGTCCAGGTGCTCGAATTTGCCGTGGGGAGATAGTCTTAACGTAGCGAGTTGCCCGGCAGAGGAGAGTGCCCGACGGAGATGTCTCCACTGACCGGCAGAAGCTCGGGTGAAATGCTGGCGCTCCGCTGGAGATGGGCAAAGGGCTGTAGAGCGGGCGCAGATAAGGTTTCCTTACGATAAGGGGAGGAACTTCCTGCCCGAGTTAAAGATGTGGTACTCAGCTGTCGTCCAATGTCCTGGGGAAGCCGCCGTGGAGGATCTCCAAATGTTACGTACCGATTTTCTAAGGGACGCTCTCCACTTGATTCAAAGGGACGGCATGAGGGAAAGGAAGAGTTATAAGGATCTCGACAAATCGGATAATCAGAATGATTAGTTCTCGAATTTGGCTATCATCAAAGTAGTCTATCTCGTTGATAATTTTTCTAGCTGTGTTTCGAAACGGTACAGAAAGTTATCGCTCGTGTACTTCTCGCGTTGCTCTCGCGATATCCAGGAAATTCTATGGATTTTCTGTGAGTATTCTGGAAGTGCAGTGCTCTGTCCTAGTGCAGTGCCCACCTGAGTGTATTCTGGATGCACTTCTTGACCTTCACGGATTAGCTGCGCCAGCTCCGGTAAATACATCTCCACGTTCCATCGTTTACACCGTCACAGTTTTTTTTTTTAAATTCAAGTTAAGTACGTAGCATTTTTTCGAGTTTTTCAAAAAAGTTATAGGTAGTATAGTTATAAGTAAAAGGTAGTATAGTTATAGGTAGTAGAAAAAGTGTATTAATCCGTATGCGTGCGAGAGAGACGCACTTAGAGCCCTGCTGTGCTAATGAAACGTACGCTTTAGGAGCATTACAGGGTACGTCAACGATATCCTTAAATGCGAACAATTGCCGTGCACCGATCAGCTGGGCCTTCAGCCCATTTCATGCCATCTCTTTCTATACTCTTTATCCTTTATCTTCATTTACGAACAAAAAAGTGTGACGTAGTGCGTCGCGAAACGTCCCTTTCTATACTCTTTATTATTTACCGTCGTTTACGAAAAAAAGTGTGACGTAGTGAATTGATACGTTTGAATAAGTGCGTCGCGAAGACATTATCTAAAGTTCGCGGAAATTCGCGTATTGGTCTACTCGTAACAAGTGAAGAATTAGTCCGCAACCGAAAATACAGGAAGTGCAAAATAGTGGCCAAGGCTGGAATGAAGTCGTCACCAGAATGGACCTCGAGTATCGAAAGATGTACTGGACCAATGAACAATACAAATGGACAAGAGAAAGGCAGACGAAGATCCTGGGGTAAGTGATCTTTTTCTTTTTTCCTTTTTTTTCTACTCACCATAAACATTTACGTAAGCGGCCATGCTGAAAGCCATAAATTTGCTATACTCAGCTGATACCGGAAGTATAGCATAGATCTGACTTATATTTGTGTGAGATTTTGGTGATGCATTCGGAAAGTGTTCCCATGTTGCGCGGTAGTGTCTGACTATATTTCCAGCTATACTTGTTTCCGAGTGATCAACTGTAGATTCTGCTGCGTACTAAATAATTTTTCCTCGTCCACGCGAGTCTTCTGGATTTTGCCAATTCCGCGTTTATAGCGCACCAACGAGAGAAGAACACTGTGGACTCTCTATTAAAATACATATTTATACATATTATATTAATACATATAATACATATTATATCAACATTACAAAAATGGAGGTGCTACACGGATGTCAGCTCCAGCATCACACTTTTTTTTAAATCTCTTGAAAATGATTCAACAATAGGCTTTTTCAATAGTTCTCGAGAAGTTCTACAGTTCCTGATAGGTTTCAACAATCGTTCTGCTACGCAACATCGGTAAAATATGTATTAAATATGCTTGTGGCATCATACGCTTCAGTGCAGGCAGACATGAGTTGCTTGCTTTTGTCATATTAAACTTACCGAGCTTATACTGTGCGATCGAATTTAGGACTGCAAAGAAAAAAAGTATTTAGGCTATATCCGATGAGTTGTCTCGTTCTAAGTGTTGCTTTGGGAACCAGCGATAAGTAGCGGAGGACTGTGCCCGCCAGGCTACCCGTTCGTGATCACATTCAGCTCGGCTACGACGGGATATGCATTATCGACGGAGGCGATGATCACAAAATTCTATTCCCGGACTCGCCGCCACGATTTAGCGCCATGTTTTTGGTATCGCCTAAAACCGTAGCGTTGTGCATCTCCCTACTGATCTCTGTAGCACGTGTTAGGCTTTTTCAACACTAACGCCTCTTGCGGCAGTGGCCACCTTATCGTCACGCGTTTTTCGACTATGTGTCCAGAACTGTATACAAGATCGTGGGTACCCGCCACCCCTTCCTTTCAACCTTTATATGGCGTCTATTCAAAAATGGTGCTTGAAATCCTAAATGCAATACAAAGAAGAACTCGTCTAAATTCTTCAGGAACGTGAGTAATGGGAATTATTTATTTATTTGCGATACTTTATTATATGTTTTATTGTTTCTATAACCGTTGTTGTTTCATCCTTTATTTATTCATAAAGTAATTCCTCCTTTGTTGTACTGCTACATTTTATATAATTTTGGTAATTTCATAAACGCAAAAGTTTTTAATGAAAATATAAGGTATTACAATTGTAAAACTCATATTGTTTTTTCGTAACAGGAACAATTCTTTTCTTTGTTCGAATTTATTTCATACTCTTTTTGAGAATATTGTTATTTTAAGAGGAGGATGAATTTGAATATTTAACTATCTATTAGACTCAACAGTTACGAATAATTATTACCTGTTGCTTGATTACAAATATAATAATTGCAAAAAGGCAAACTCATTATATTAAGGCTAGTGTTTTGCAATTCCAACAAGGGTATATTGATATAAGGAACAGAAATACAGCAAACAATAAATTCGTATATAATTTACAACACCCAAGGAAATGTATATCTTGTAAAAATCATATATCTGATTATATCTTGGAAGCTTGCTTCACATCTAGATTTGCTGTATATATTACACTCAAATCTGTTATGCAAACTTCATAGATTTTCTTGTACTCTAAAGCTATGGTATTAGAATTAAACCATCTAAAACAATAAGTTCATATTACTGAATACATTCGACAAGTTATGGCTGTAAAAATAATGTCAAGAAGTTTTAACAATTGATCGATACAGTGATACATTCTTTGACATTAATATAAAAACTTACTGAATGCAGCCAGTATTTTTTATAGGTTCGCTTTAAGAACAAACTTCAAATGAAATAAGGAAGCATTCTTTAGATGCTTGATAGAATAATAATAACAAATTGCACTGTACACAGTTTCTGTTTGGTCTAACGATAAGATGTGAGAATTGTAGTTATTAGTTAAAAATGAACTCATATTAGTCATTGTAGATATACATATAGATAAGTCATACAAAGAAAACGGAATTATAAATTTATATGTAGTATTTTTGCTTCTAATTATTCTAAACCCCCACTTGCACCTACTCAGTCGTTAGGAGTGACTTCCCAGTTTAAAAAAAAATTAAAGTATACAATTATTCCATTCGCAAAAAGACAAGAAATGTTTTGAATAACCTTGGGGAGTGAGACGCTTTTCTTAATATACGCTCAATTTTGTACGTGATGAATTAGTATTATGCGTTAGCAATGTCAATAGGCATAATGCATGGAAAACTATCGCTTCGAAAAGACAGATAAACTCCATACTATTTCTCAATGGAAGTTTCACTTTGAACCTTACAGTAAATTTTGATGCATGAATGGATTTCATTTTACACGTAATCCTTTACCTTAATAGTATTCACCAAAAATAGTATAAATAATATTATTGTTATTGTAACCAAACTGTTGAATCTTCTATTATGAATATAGATCAGAACATTATTCCTAGCAAAATCTTTAATCTGGTCGATAGGAAAAGTTAAATGAATTGCATACAATGTTCACATCATATTCACCAGAGATCCATTCTTGCATTTTGTAACTATGACAGCAGTATTATAGACCGACAGGATATGATTAAGAGAACTCTAATACAAAGAAAAAGGTAATAAGTTTGTAATTTCAATGAAATATACTTTCGATCTTCATATTAACATGTATCAGGTTATAGTATATAAACAATACGTCTTGTTTATAATACTCTGTCATAGAACATAATAAAGAGTATAATAATGAAACTGCGAAGAGACAAGTCTAAAGAATCGTACAATTCCAAAGGCCAATAGGCAAAACTTTCATACAAGTCATATGCTATGCGCTAAATGAACTATCATTTATCACGGATGACTTCAAAGCTTCATTATTCTAATACATCTCAAAGTACGACGTCTCATAATAAGAAAAATCGACGACAACGTTTATCTTAATTTAACACCGTAATTCACTTCATTTTAGATATTAGCTCGTGCTTTGAGAGTATTCTATGAAAACAGATTAGAAAATAATATTGTTCGATTACACCTAAAACATCATTCCTGGACACATCCGTTTAATGACTTCATACTATAAAAATATTCCATTGAGATTATTCACAGAGGATCAGCTTGCAATCCGAAATTTCATGATCCTCGTTCACTACCAAATACAAATTAATTAAGAGAACAATCTATATATCACGTATCACATCGTTTGATTAATAAATTATTTTTCGTACAGCTCCAAGATTGCCATTGCATACTCACCGGAAATTGCGGTTATTCAATATGTATCAGGATAATGATTTCTGTTCAAAATCCATCATAATCCTGATATATTCATGCACAATCATGACCAACGTAGAAATATTAGTAAAGAGGACCAGCCTCTTATAGTACTATGTGTCTGAGGCCTAGTGAGTGCAGTGGGCACGAGAGATAGACTGGACCAGCATAGAAGTTCTGAAGAGGGTTGGAATGGTTTTATTTCGGACATAGAATACACGGGAATTGATCCTCTTTACCAATATCTTCTTGGTGTCACGACTTTCGCTTTTTTTTTCTTTTCTCTCTCAATATACAAAACCATTTTTAACTAAGTATCGGAACCGAAATTCATTCTGCTTTGAAATATACATAATATTGATGCTTCTGTTACTTATGCATTCACCCGTGTGAAACTTGATAAGACGATAAATAAAGCTCAGTTCGTCGAAATTATGTTTTCATTTTTAGATAAAAAGTTTTGTGTCAATCACGTATAATTGTGAAATAAGATAATAAACTTGTTTCACCTCCTGACTAGCATACTTAACATGGTATACATACTATTTACAATTTGAGTCGTACGATGTGTTATACAATATCAACAGCAAATATTAGTGTAGTGTAGAAGATCTAATTATACATATAACTATATCCCAGATAATATAACTAATTGATAAAAAATATTTAAAGGCGAGCCTAAATATTGCAATTAATTATAGTCTATCGCTCGGAACCTTGCATTTTTTGTGTAAGGGCCTTTCTCTTTAGATACAAAGACAAATAGTATTGTACATCATATCGCAAAGTATAACATACGTTAGGATCCTATGTCATATCCAAATTCAAATGCTAAAGACAACTTCAACGAATGTGAAATTTAGTTCTGAAGAAGTCACAATCACAAAGTGCTTTAACTTGATCAGATTTGATAGTGGACACTTACAGCATCATACAAACATCACCTGCGACTCTATTCGCAATAACACCACGACCAGGCAAAGTATTGTTTTTTAGACATTAAAGGTCTGTACGGCAGTTACACTAGCGTGATAGTGGCAGACAGCATTAGAAGAGAAATTCATAATATTAGTAAATAATAAAATCTAAATAAATTGAATTCGCGTTTTCGCCTTGGTCTCAGCGTCCAATAAATTTAAGTTATGACAATTCCATGATGATACTTGTAAATTCCATCGTCAATTCTTTGCTGAGGTTTAAGAACGTTATTAAAATACGTGCGCAACGTACAAGAAAATATTTCATACATTATGACTTGTTGGCGCTGCAGCATTTTGAACAGTCAAAACAACTGGTATGCTATCTTTTAATGGACCAGGACATTCTGTTACTATTTCCCGGACCGTTACCCATTAATTGATTTTGCAAGTCTGTGACGGTTTCCTGGAGGGTCCGTTTCTCTTCTAACAAGGTCGAGACGTCACCCTGGGCAGCGTTTAAACATGATCTTAGCACCTCGGACTCCTCCTTGACTCGTCTTAGCTTTGAATTCTCTTCTAAAAGTCTTTCGAAGGCTACAAGTCTTCGTTTCAGTTCCTCGTTGTCAGATTTTAACTGCCTGCTAGACTGTTTCAAGGTATTCAGTTCGAGTTCACGGTCGATATCCTTACTGCTTTGTATTTTCCCACTAGAAATGGTAGTGTTCGACGAGCTCTCCTCCGGAATGCTCACTGCAATTAATTTAATGCATAAAAATTACATACGAAGATGATAATTTTTCTAGAAGACGTTTTACAAGAACGTGTATTGAAGCATCATTCTGCTTGTAAAATTCAACTAGGAACTCTATAGCCATGCTGATTTCAAGAGAATTGATTTTTGTTCGAGAATTTCTGCTATGCAAACTGCGCCTTTTTTTGTCTACCTAGTGATATTTCATGCCTGTACTTTGTTTTTTGTAATTCTGAATGTGTTCTAAAATCAAATCCAAGGGATTTCTGAAACCACATTGTTTTCTAAAGCCATAGTATTGATGGATATTATATTTATCAGGTACATAAGTGCTTATTCATATTTTAAAGAGATCCCTTAGATGAGCTATGGAAATTAGGTCTTTGTAGTGGCTCTATTCATATACATTCTAATTCAGCGAAGGACTCTGACTATGGCTGTGCTGGCAGAAGCAGCAAAAACAAATTCTAATTGTCTAAGTGTGATATACCAATGCTCACATTCGAAAGGCCTTCTGAGTGCAAGAAACAATTATGCACATATAGTGTCAATTACTGTCAAACTGATATCTGCCACTTGCATATAATAAGAAAATAGTATAAACGATAATGAAGATTGATAAGACGAAAATATACTATTACTTTTCAATGCAACCTATTGCAATATATTATATACATAAACGTTACTTGGGCGTTCCTTTTTTTTATAAACAAAGCCTTTTATAGTCTGCTTATTATTCTTAAGAATTACTCTTTTATTATTGTCGAGCACCTAAAAATCATTGTAACGTATTATCATCATATACCAATAATCTTGAAAAACAAACTAACGAACACAAACAGCAAGTGGCAGCTAAGACCGATAAACTAATTTGGCATGTACTTCTTTTACTTACCAATTGGTTCAATATGAAAGACACCATTGGAATCCCGGGATATCCTAAGCTTAGATATGTTCAAATCTATTGGAATTGGACCAGGAGATGTTATATTGTTAGGTGGTCGGTCCTCGTTCAAACGCAAGGAAATATTTTCCAGAAAGATCTACAATACAAAAATATAAATTACAAGTTTGTCATTATGAAGCTAAATGATTAACTTATAAATAGGATCAATATTTTTATCCACCGCACCTGCATAGGGATAGGTTTCGGTATGACTTCATCTTCTGTCAAGTCAGTTAGTCCTGTCACTGAGCTCATTGACAATGTCAATGGTACATCAACAACCTTGACTTCTAATTTGTCTTCAAACAGAGCCAGCAGTTTGACTTTATCATGGAGATACATGTTATAAATATTCGTTTCTGGCTCTGCCAGTACACCACGATCTTGTGATGATCTTCTGCTGCTGCCACTAGTACTTTGACTAGCATGTGACAGTCTTCGTGAGTCTTCAGTGTTCTTGAGGCCATGATCCAGTCGCATTTTTATGCGGGATCTACAGTCTGAATCCGATGGTAACTCGAACCATCCTCTCGTACGAGAACTGAATTTGCTCTGCCCCACAGAATATGTTAATGACATAAGTGATTGCATCTGAATATCCACTATACATGTAGCTTAATTAAATTACTGCTTATAATTAATATTTATTTTAAGAATCTAGCCGAGTGATAATCGTACATTGATGTATCATTTTCAGTACTGTAAATTGTCTCCTTATTTTACGTCTTCTATAAATATCAATTTGCACGTATGTGCAAACCCGTTAGCAAATAATTAACTCTTATATAAATGTCTGGCGCATGCAGATCTTTACGTATGGATCCTTATATCCCTCATATTGGTATTTTTTGGACCACATGCATTATATCAGAAAGCTATGTATGTAATGGGTCGGTTGGTAAATGTGTGTTTGCGAGCTGTGAGACTTTGATACATCAATAAGAGAAATCATTAAAACGTTGCGTGCCCTTTCATCTGAATAATGCGAAGCGGCAACATGCCGGCTTGCTTGTATTCATGCTTCAGCTCTTCTTAGAGTGGATTTTATAGGGAGTCCATAATACATTGACACGTCCCAAATTAATGAGGCTGGTGCAACATTTTTTTGGCTTAGGACTAGATTATGCTACTCGGATGGCAAAATAGTAGATGCTTCAGTAACGTTGATTCGTTACTATATGCTGATCATTCGTCAAAAATTAAGTTAGTAAGGATTATGATGTGTTAATTTTCCTTGAAAAAATGCACGGTATTTATAAGAAATACAATTTCTGTTGCTTAATGACTGGTATTATATTCCTTAAAATATGTATCATTGTGATGTGATTATTTATTTATTGGAGTGTTTTGCTATCCGAGTGACTGTTACATGCATTTCATTGTAATGTGTCTAAAGTAAGTAAAATATAAATGTATTTGCCAATACCTTTCTTTTGGCCTGCCACAAGTGCCACACAAAAACATTCACAAGAGAAGAAGAGACGCGGAAGAAGGCATGCAAAAAAGTTAAAAGACAAAAATTGTATAAATATATGTATTTATACATTCATGTATGTATATATAACTGTATGCCATAGTAAATTGACTACATAAAAAAGAATTTTCATTAGTTACATGTTTTTAAATCTTATCTAAAAATTTGTGTACACGAGAAAAGCATTCTTGTATGAGATATAGAAATAGATACGTCTTATACCAATATGAATATAATGAATTCAATGGAAATTTAGCCAAAAAGCCTGTTAGTACTTTTCACATGTTCGAATTAGGTTAATAATTCTCTATGTTATCTTCACTCTCAAACAAAGTAGGCTCCTTTTTTTTTATTTAAGAAAAATCAGAGTTAGGCGATAGAAGCTGTACAATATGAAAAGTAACATCGAGATGAGAAATATCTTTGAAAGATGAAAGCCAAAAAACAATAAAGGAAATAACACGTTCGATTTGAAAGTGTATACCTTCCCTTTGTCACAATTTGTGAAGATCAAGTCGAGGATACGTCAAACGACTACTCACAGTACCATAATATTCATGTGAATAAATAAATAAGAAAAAATTGCAGTAAGAAGCAATGTGAAACCGACTCACCTGAAATTCATCCCAGGGTATTGAAGAACACTCTTCAGTTCCAATATTGGATACCTGCACTTTAATTGCTGAAGAAAATCCTGACGATTGTTGAATAAATTCAACTTTAGATAACTTAAACGTCGCCATTGATACCTGGAAACAAGATATTCATTAAATTTTCATAACTTTACAATAGCAATTCTATTTTACCAAGTCCTAAGGGTAATGAAAACGCACCAAGTCCCTCCTTTTGCATACACTGTCCACCGATCGCTCGCTCTGTGTATCAGGAGTCTCCTCGACGACTTCACTAGCTTCTTCCACGCTTGTTATCCTGATGGTATTATCAATAGCAAACATGGCGTCAACCTTTTCCTGATCCTCAAGACTGACCACAACGTAATTTTCACTATCCGAGCTTACATCACTTCTCATTGAGATAGTGTCACTACTACCATCCTCCGGGGAAGGTTTCAGGGCGGAATCAATGGAAGTCATCAGGTTGCTAAATCCTTTCTTCATGGAAGACAAACCAACGTTGAAGTTATTCGGTATGAAAGGAGTAGCAGCGCTTACATCTGGTTTATTGTGTTTCGATATTGTTGGTATGGGTCCTGAATCAATTTCTGTGGCAGTCAAGGAACGCTCATTGAAGGTGGTGGTGGTGGTAGTAACGAAAGGATTGTCCCATTTTTTATTGCCATTTTGTTTAAAAGTTACCGTTGGCTGTGTCACTGTAGCATGTGAAAAATCCGTAAGCAAGATGCCCGACCCATCGCTCTGAGGTGTTATTATCTCATTAGTATTAATACTAATACTCTTTGTGCTGAAGTCCACCTTAGTATTTGTATTGTTCTGCCAAGGCATAGAGGAACCCAGGTCGTCAGCTATGCTTGAAGAATCTGGTACAACAGATTCCAAATCACCACCTGAATTTTCTTTGCCGGGAGTTTGCGAGGGCATTACGAATGTAACTTCCACTTGAGGAATCAGAGCTCCTATTACTAGTGATCCTCCTGACTCTACTTGTAATATTTTGTTGGAATCGACGGCTAGGTACGTGGCCAGTTCAGAAATGATTTCTGAGAGTCGCAGAAGGAAGAGGTACTGGTAATGATTTATCTGAATGCTCACTAAGTTCCCTATGTATGCCAAACCGTGAATGTCTGCGGATTCCGGTGTGTCTTTTGGCGATGCACTGGTTTTCATATGAACCCAAAGTGTCAGTGGAAATGCATCCAAAAATGGTACAGGACGATTCTGTCCTACTGCTCTCGCGCCAAAAAAATCACCCCATACAGGCTCAAAGTTACAACACCATACATCTTTAGCTTCGATCCATAGAAGTTCTCGACTCAATTGACGGATCATTTCATTTATGGAATTACTACTGAAGTTTGGTGGTAGTGATCTGATACCATCAGTCCCTAAAATATTGCATTGTTTAAAAAATAAATTAGAAGATTGAATATAACGTAGATTCAAATAGATTGTTTTCTAAACCATACCTGCGCAGTGTTCCAGAAATTTATTGGTTACCACGTGATAGTCTCCTGCTTTACTTGGAAATTCAGCACCAAAAAACATCTGGCCCATTTGAAACACATTTAAACACTGTGCTAAGTCAGCTCTGGATGATCTTTCTGTGGACCTGACATTGGTTACCGTAGCCCTGGATGTTTGAAGGTGCAAGGATTTTGGTCTGTCTTTTTGATTTGGATAGTCCTGCTGACTCTCGAACACTATCTATAAATTGTATTAACAAATTTGGTGATTTTCTGTGAAGTTGTCAAAGTTTGCGCTGTACTTACTCTGGGGAGAATGGCTTCGATCTTCACATCGAAGTACATAAGATTGGCTTGGTTATTAGCGCCTTTGTTATTTCTGTCCAATAACGAATGATGAAGATTGAGGGCAAACGAATTGAACCAAAGGCAGGAGCAAAGGTCAAAGTTCACTTGTATGGGATTAAGTTGCACATAAAACTTCGGTGGGGGTACTAGAAGATTATTAAATAATTGATCCACGATGAATTATCATTAAAATAATAATAGAAGCAATGTATAATAATATGTATATGATATTACATGGGAAATTAATATCGCCTGGATAGTAGTAGTAGGTGAATTCCGCATGTAGTATAGTTACATCCTCTGGTAGGCAGAATCTGTCACGATCACCTAAACATACAACAAAAGACATGTAATAAAATTGTAATCGTTCTTTAGATAATATTTTTAATTATGCAAGAGAACCGACACAACACGTGAACTCTACTTGTATACTCATACTCTATGAAAAAAGTGTACATTAATTATAGCGTTAATCAAACTTTGGTGAATTGCACTCTTCCCTTGTGATGTAATGCGAAATATGCAAGATTTATTTAATAATCTTGTTGCAGAGAATGTCAAAGTTTACATGCCTATTAAATGAGTATAGAATCCCGTAGATAAAAAAGATAACACGAGTCTCGCAAATAAAACGATGACGAGCATAAATCCAAGAATGAAATGTTACACCTAAGCAAGCACAACACAGCTACTTGTCGATTATACCTGGTAAAGGCTTCTTCCTTGTTTGAGCTGTGCAATTGTCAAATAATAATTATTATTGACTTAATTGCTGGTGCAAGACATTGTCGTTATATACTTAACGACGAGCTTTAAGCGAATCAAATATTTATTTTCTTTGTCTATTTCTTTTTTAAATAAGAAATGAAAGAATCATCTTACCTGTAATGAATTCTTTTGGTGCAGGCTTTCGCGATGATGTTGTCACTTTATATAAAGTGAAATCATCAATTCTAATGATCACACAAGTTGTCATTAACTTGGCAAGTTGCTCTAACACATAATTTTTAACAGGATTGCCACTAGGATGTTGTGAACTTTTTTTCTGATCGTGTGAACCTACATTTTGGTTTTGTGATTGCCCACTCTTATCGTGATCATCTCCAATTTTAATATCATTTGCTATAAAATAAAAGAAACATGGATAACATATTCTCTATTTGATGACAGCAGAAAATGTATCGATTGATACAAAATATTCCAGACACAGTAAAACGAACCTGTAACATTTCCTTGGCTTCTGGTCAACGGTGAATGTTGAGATCTGCCTGAATCAATGAGATCCATAAACTGACCACGGAAAGTATTCAATGACTGTTGAAGCCATTGACTATGGGGAGTGGCGCCTTCTTTATACTTGGCCCAATGCTTTCTGTCAGCCATTGCCAAATGATAAGGATAATAGTCTACTTGAAATTTCATCAAAGATATTTGCAAAGCACCTCCGTCTTTCAACTCTGGGTGAAGTGATCTACCCGCTAGTAAAAGATAATATTTGACAAAACATGTTGTTATAATATTATTGCTTTTTTTCGCTAATGTCATACCTCCAGGGTCATCGCATAAATGCAGATCAATTCTTTGTGAAAGAAAATGGTAGGACGTCTCCACAACGTCATATCTTGAAAATATTTTAGAGATAGCTGCATTATATTGGCTTTTTGTTCTGGCTTGTTGAGAAATTTGTGCCTGATACTCTGGCAGGACCTTTGAAAAGTTTAGATAGCTGGTTTAATATCCTGAAAGCTTCATTTCCTTAATGTCACTAATTTACCTCCAATTTTCGTGCAGCCTTAGTTTTTCTTTCTAGAACTGTTGCTTTTTCTACTAAACCACCTAAGGAATCCAGGAAATGGAGAGCAGCCTTAAGCTGAGAATCTGTTAGTACCCATAGAAGATCATCGAGTATAAGAACTAGTCTGGAGCCCATCACAAAGCAATCTATAGGAAATATTAAGAATTGTTATCGGATATATCTTACGCGTAATTAAGGAAAATGAAAAATGACTAGACTAACCGGATATTCGTTTTTTTATGGTTATTCGACATTTCGCTTGATTTGTTAGTAATCGGAGTGGCGTAAGTTCCTTGTCTTTGGTACTGCGCGCTTCTATTCTAACTGTCTGCCATTCTAACTCTTTAAAAATGAGCAATTGACCCCTGTCAGGATCTTTTAAACGCGTCATTCTTAAATCGCTACGCATCCACGTTGGTGATTTAGATTCCACAAGTATTCGCGACATCTATAACATATAATTGAGACATGATGAATTTGTAGCATTCTTATATCAACCATATGCTTTGCTGTGTTAATATCAACGTTTTAATTACATACCTGGACCGAGGCAATGAAGGCAGGACTCTTAAACGTAACATTTACAGTATTGACAGCCACTGTTATGCCATCAATTACTTTGTGAATAAATGAATATTTGGCAGGACCTGCATGTGAAGATAAACCTTGCGGTGAAGACATGCTTCTCAAATCTTCGCATGTCTCCACTTCTATGTGTACCTCATCCAAGCTCTATAAATGTTAAAAATTAGAAATGATTCTATTACAAAAATACCCCTTCAATACATTTAATTTACCAAAAATATAGGAACACTCTTCAGCTTGGTCCATTGTATCCTAAAGGAAACTTTATTACACCAAGCACTAGTTAATCTCAACCACGATGGCAATTCCAATAAGTCTGTTAATAAGATTTCATCCAGTTCCAAATTAGTAAGCTCACCTTCACCCTTGAACGTACTCAAATTAATCTTATCTGCCGAGAGATTCTTTGTGAACCTGAAAGAAAATTTACGATGCATTCATGACTTGCTAACACAGTACAAGTATAGAATCCTTTTTAAGACAGGAATTCATGGAGTCTATGCCAAATCTAAAAATATACAATAACAAAAATAAGAGCTGCATAAATAGACATTGAGGTGTATGGAAGCATAAGAAGAAAAGTGAAGTTTCCAGGTATAGAAATATATTTCATTATAAACAATCAACGTATTTATTAAGAATAAAATACAACGGCTGGCTAGTGGCAAGGCACAAAAGAACAAAAAAAACTATCAGTAACGTGTCTTCGCTTATGTCAAGGGCGTTGCAATTGTACGATATGTTAAAATACGCTTAAGCGGATCGTGACAAGATAGCATAAAGGGACTCTTACACACCTTGACAGATGTTTTAGCAATTGATTTTTAATAATCGACACCATTTTACGGCTTTATTAGTCAATTTCTCTGGAGGTTAATATATCTTTACATGGTTAGTTTTCCACCATTCACTTGTAACTTCTCGTGACGACTATGGCGTTGCGCTAATGCAAGAATATATTCTTGCGCTTCAAAGAATCTTCGCGACTTGCGTAGTTGAACGTTCTGGTAGGAGACTTCCGTCGCAGAGATTAAATTCTCACACGTCAAAATTCCATCTTAATTTTCAGCAAAATAATTATTTTATACTCTGATTCAGGCAGCCACGCTTCAATTATTGACAAGTGTATCGCTCGTACAGACTTCGGGTTCTTTAACTTTATGCAATTTTAATCTATATCTGCTTTCTTGCTATTTAATGTATGTATTTCTAATTATTTGTTTCTTCATGAATCTGGATTCGTGTGAATTAGACCGTAGATTATTGTACTGTTTTACCGATTGTATGGACCAAAAATCTTTTGTTGTTTATAAATCTTTTTAGAACCAACTATGCGTTATAGATGGTGCTGAATGAAAAGAGTGTACGGACGTGTAAATTCAAGAAGAATATTGAGTAATATTACTTCTGGTCAATTAATTTGAAAAAGATATGAATAATGGGTGCCTTTGAAGAAAATGCGTGGGATGCTGATGACACTGGCGATAAATTGAGCAAAGAGTTATTTCAAAAGGTATATTGTAATTAAGGTTATAATGGCTGACTGTAGTAGCACGTGTATGTTTTTCATTCGAAAAACAAACAAATATTTTATGTTTTTTGTATGAAATATGTCAATGACTTAATATAAGATTGTATACAATAATCCATTTGTTCTTTGCATGTATTGTAGAGGAAATCAAAGAAAAACAAGAAGAAGGAACAAACAACAAATCGGGATATAAACAATGCTGGTCAATTGCAAAAAAATGCTGAAACAGAACTACAAGTTTCAGTAGATCTTGACAATCCTGAAAAAGATAATGAAACTCATAAGCGAAAGAAAAAGAAGTTAAAAAAAGAAAGAATGACAGATGCTGATTCGCATGGAAAGCTTAGTACAAAGAAACCAAACACACAGGAAGATGATGTTAAAACTATAACAGACAATATAATTACAATGCATCAAAGAGTAGAGAGGAATAAGAAAAATAAAAAGAAAGCGAGGCTTGATGAGAGCAGTCATGGTCCTGAAGACACTGAGAGTACTGTTATTAATGATAAAAAACACAGTATGACAGTACAGGGAGAAAAATTATCAAATGGATATGCAGATAATAATGCTGCTAATATTATTGAAGTACAAAAAAGTATTGACTCATTGACACAACAAATAAAGGACAACATTGAAGCTCAGAGTAAATCACAATTACGGAAGGCTCAGAAAAAAGCAAAGTTGCAGGAAAATATTGATCAGTCGATTGCTCAAGAGAAAGAGGCTGATGAAGATAAAAATAAGAGTAAAAAGAAGAAGAAAAAGAAGAAGAAGAGCTCTAACATAGAGAGGGATAGCATAACTATTGAAAATGAGAAAGCTATAAAAATTCAAAAAGTAGAACAAATAAAAGAAAAAAAAATAGCAGCTCAGACAATGACCCATAAATCTCCAATGACAGACAGCTCATTGACTGCTAACAATGATTCAAAATCAAAAGGCAGTCGAAAATTGAATGTGGAAAAAATTAAAGAAATGCTTGCAGCTAAACAGAAACAAGACAGTGGTACTTCATCAAAGTCCAAACAGCCACAGAGTCTGAGGGATCGTATGATGAATCAATTAAGAGCATCTAGATTTAGGTATTTAAATGAACAATTGTACAACAGCAAAAGTTTTGAGTCAAAGAATTACTTTAAAGAAGATCCTGAGGCATTTAAAGCATATCACGAAGGCTATAAGAAACAAGTAGAACAGTGGCCATTGAATCCATTGGATCTTATAATAGATTCAATTAAAAAAATGTATGTCTCTATCCTGTAATTTATTGACATATAGAATTAAGTTATTTCTATCTACATACTTTGTATTCACAGGTCAAAAGATTTTGTGATTGCTGATTTTGGATGTGGAGAAGCTAGGCTTGCTAAGTCTGTACCACAAGAAGTACATTCGTTTGATTTAGTTGCTATTAATGATAATGTAAAAGCATGTGATATGGCACATACTCCATTATTAACAAATGGAATCCATGTTGTAGTATTTTGTTTATCCCTCATGGGAACAAATCTAAATGACTACTTGATAGAAGCCAACAGAGTTCTCAAAAAAGAGTAAGCATAATTTATGAAATATACTTCTTAGTTACATAGATTTACTAAGAGCCAATTTAATATCAAGGTATTTTATTATTGCAGTGGACTTTTAAAAATTGCCGAAGTCGAGAGCCGATTTGATAAAGTGGAGGACTTCATAAAGATCTTAGAGAATTATGGTTTTGTCAACACATGGAAGGATCTGTCTCATAATCTGTTTTATTTTATGGATTTCAAGAAAGTTAAGGACATTAATAGAAATGACAAAAAACTTCCTCCTCTGTCACTGAAACCTTGTCTCTATAAAAAGAGATAATACTTTCGTTTGTCCTTTTTTGCGACTAACACATTTGTATCGTTTGTACATAAAACAGTTGGTGACAGAATAAAACAATTGTGTGAGGACTTACACACTTCTAGAATTTGCAATATATTTTATTGTACCAACGGGTGTTAAACGTTACTTTAATTCTTGTAAGTAACTTTCAATCACAGTATGACATTATTTATGTACGTGCTCGCTCAAACAATACGCTATACTGTAAACGCATTGTTCTGAAAAGCACAAAAGTAGGTTTGACTTAACAATAACAATGAAAAACAATAGTTCAATTTACATTTTCGCACAGTATATGTGTTGTACGTTTGTTGATATTGTTATTTCAAGTATCACGGGATTTACATGTTTGAGTGAAAATAACAATGAGTTATGCAAAAGTATAAAAAATATAAATATGAATAATTAAACAAGTGGACTAGAATAGTTATGGTTTACCACCAGTCTGTTACTTATTGGAGTGTAGAGAACAATAATAGATTTTTTATATTGAATCGCCTTATTTATCCTAAAGAATATAGAAACTCGAGATATTACGATTTCAGTAAATGTTACATGATACAGTTTGGATCTAAACCTTCCAAAAAGTTTTCAGCCTCGTCCCGCAAATTCTCGACCTTTTCTAAAATTAATAGCTAAAAAATTAAATTTATAATTAAACCCAGACCAATATGATTTAATTTTTTTTTCATGTAAAAATCTTACGTTGGCTGCTGCTATTATTTGTTTTGCTGTTTTCTTAGGCAAATATTCTATCTTCTCAATCATGTCCTTCGGATTTGCCACTGCTATAGATTGTAAAGTTTTGTATCCAGCATTAAACAACTGTCTTGCCCGTCCCTAACGAGAAAGATAATATTTTTTCTATTATTTGTATTTATTTTCTATTTAAAAAAAGCCCAAATATCTTACCACTTTAACAGATGGAAGTTCCATCAATGACTCTAATTCTGCTGAGCAGCAGCAGTTCATCAGTTTCTGACTAAATGTCGATAGCAAGACCTTGAAAGGCCAGAATTCAGGTATTTCCTACAAAGTTTTATTTTTCCATATTTATTAAGAGCGTTATATTTGAACACTAAAGTGCTATTAATTTACCTCACAGAATCGAACTATCCCAGAGGCAAACGATGAGGCCGAATTTAACAAATTCTGTACAATTCCTCGACTCACTTGGTACTTTTCAGCAACTGTATAAACTAAGTGCTGGTTCAATATTTCGTGAAGTATCAGAGTTAAATAAAATCTTTGAATAACTTTCGCTTCAACGTTCTAAATAAAAAGAAAATAATTTATTCTACAATATGTCTATAATTTATCAGTAGAAACAATTGATGACAATATCAAAGATATTATACCTTAGGTGATATTCCATCTCTCAATTTGCACACTATCATTTCATTGATTCCCAATATTCTTGCTGTTTCCATTAGCTCTGGCGTTAAATTCGTGACCTGCCATAAACAAAATATTAAAAATCAGCTAAATATATGACTTATCTATTAAGAATAAAAAATAAAAAATTACCACATCATAATAGACAGAACCCACTGGTTTTATTTGATTTGCTAGGTCGTAAGGTGTTATCAAATATAAAAGATGAAGTTCATTGAGAAGTACCAAGTGCTTTTGTGCAATTTTTAAATCCCTATATAAATCATATGCAGAATCCAAATCGACAGAACCTACCAACAATTTGTAATTATTAATTAACTAAAAAATAGAACGCACTTTGTTAACATTTTTGTTAATCAATATCATACCTTTCATTGCAGCTCTACCCAATTGGCAAATCTCAAGGGAAGTTTTGCTGGTTAATACAACAGTCCTTTTCCCCTTAACAGGTGTTGATTTTTCAACATATGAAACTTCTTGAGATGGAAGAACAACAGTTAAATTCGGTTGAACATCACAAGGAGTTGTGGTTTGTTTGACTTTAATCACACCAGCTTTCATGAGCATAGTGATTGTCTTATCAGTTAGTGTCTTAACTTTTACATCTAATCGACTTTGTTGCACACCAAGAAGTGAGGTTCCAACAAGTGTATGCAATTCGTGTCTATTTGTTGCCAATGAAAATAAAATGGAGCTTAGGATTAAATTATTTAAGCCACGCGATAACTCTACATGTAATGTACTTATAGAGTCATCCATCTTGGAAGTTAATAATTCCTTCACCTAGAAAATGAAACAACTGATCTTACAATCTCACTTCAATTAAATAATAAGTCACGTAATTAAATTATTTGTACCTTTGGTATTTCACCACTTTTACATATTAATATACTTTCTCCAATTTCTCCCATACCAGCTCTTCCGGCTCTGCCTATCATTTGCTTATATCTGCTCAAATTTAGGAATTGATTTCCCACATAGGGGCACCTAAGTATCACCTGTAATAAATCTCCAATAATAATACAGCAACTTCTGGCTAAGCGTGCATGTGAATTTCTTCCCCTGTAGCCCAGTGAGTGCGTACTTAGCGAGAGGCTATTGTATAAATTTAACACTCATAATTAATTAACTTGTAAGACTCACTCTTCTAGCTGGCAAATTTACTCCAGCTGCCAGAGTCGAGGTACAACATATTACACAAAGCGTTCCGGCTAGAAAACCTTCCTCTAATAATTTTCTTTCTTCAGATGTAAGGCCAGAATGATGATAAGCAATTCCAAACGGAATAGTTTTTTCCAAAATTGGACATACTACACCCTCGGCTTTCAATGCACGTAGAAGAATAGATTTCTCCTTAGTCTTGTGATTTTCTAATTTTCTAAAATTAATAGTGGGTCTGAATCATTGAGCTCTTTAAAGTTGTTACTCTTGATTTTTTAACAATACGCACTGGACTAAAACTTTTATCAACAACAGTGCGACATTCTCGCAATTTTTACGGCTTGAGCAAAATATTAAACAGGAATCATTTGGTATCACGTCCATTACTAATCCCCCAATTTTATCAGGATCAAATTTGGCAGCTTGTTTCGAATACTTGAAAGAAAGTAACAGTAACATTATATTTTAATGTGTATGCCGATAGTATTTTGTATTTTCATTCACTTACACGGTAGTTTATTTTCTTCAGATCCGAAAAGATCTCCTCTTCTTTGAGATCGATTAACCAAATATTGTCATCACATTTGACATATTCTTTTATTTGCACTGGTCGAAAATTTTGTGTGTAGACATCGGCTTTTAGAAATTCTGCTACCTCGTTCAGATTTCCAATGGTAGCACTCATTCCAACAATATGCACTTTAGCTGCAAATTATTTATTGAACACTGTATTTTTGTACAATAAATAGGAGCTAGAAAATCAATTACAATCCTTACCATCAGCATACATAACTTTTGTTAACAATCCTTCTAAAGTTGCACCTCTGCCTCCATTTTCTCCTAACAAATGTAATTCGTCTACAACTATAATACCAATCTGTAATATAAAAACTTATTGCAGTCTTATATTTTACTCCTTAATTGTATTTGTGACATTTTTTGTTTAATACCTCTCCAAGTCGTTTTAATTCAATTAAACTATTAATTAGTCCTAGAGACTTTTCAATTGTACAAATATAGATGCTATTTTTTCTTCGTCTTTTCTTTGGAGGATATTGGCCTTTGCCAGCAGCATACTCCTCTACTAAGAAACCTAATTCTAATGCAAACTGAAACATTGATCTGACCTGTAATTAATTAAAATAATATTTTATATAGTAAAATGACATAGTAAGTAAAATACATTACATTCTGCAAGCATTAATACCTTTTCCTGGACAATTGCAACAAATGGTAAAATGAATATAGCATTTTTCTTGTTGCATATAATTTCTCTGAGCATTAATATTTCTGCTACTAAAGTTTTTCCACCACTTGTGGGAAGAGCATATATTAAGTTTTTCCTATTCTTTATAGCTTCTAAATTTAAACACTCGTCTTGCCATTCTACAATATTAAACGTTATTAATGTCTTCCACTATATATATATATATTCATATACATACGATAGAGTGCGGTAATTCCCCTCGTCTTGTATATCAAAGTTTTAACTTTGTCTGGCAGACCATAAAAAGGTCCAGTGTCGTTACATTTTTGTATATCATTACATTTTCCTCCTTCCTGTTGTTTTTCTTCATCATTACTTCCCAAACGTCTTTTTTTATTTATTTTATTACTATTTTGCGATGGGAAATTATTCTTTTCATTTTTTGTGGTATCCATTATATTATGTGCTTTCTCATATGTTAAGCAATTATTAATTGATGTATTAACTATTTCTATATCATTGAAAATAGATGTATCTAAAGCCAGTTCATCATACATATTTTTGCTTGTCGCTGTACTATCTTGTACATTTAGATCAGTCTGATTAAAATTCAGCATCTGAACATTTGTTTCAGATATTTTACTATAACACTGATTCTTATTTTCCACTGCTTTATTATTGTAAATACATTTTGTGCTCATGTTGCAGGTATTAATTTTCTTATCGCTATTATCCAAAAATTCAATTTCTGTAGAAATTTGATTAAGCAATGTTTCATCCTGCCAGAAAACATCTTTTCTTTCATCATTTAATATACCCTTTTGTACTTCTTGTATAGAATTCAATGTTTGTGTATCATTAAATTTTTGTTCTAAATCTTTTTGTAATTGCATTGAATCAAGAATTCTAGAGGCTGGAAATAATTCCCAATCATTAGAATAATCATCAGGTATACTGCATGTCCTTTCATATCTTGAATTTCCTGTCACATTTCTTTTTATCATTGTGTCTGAAGATTTAGTTTGTTCATCTGTATCACTCTCCTGGTCTGTAATTATGCTATTTAATACTGTATCATCCATTGACAACATAGATCGAATGGATACCAATGTTTCTGAATCATGATTCATTACAGGCTTTGAAGATTGTTCCTCCATTGTATTATGCTTATAAGTAAAAATAATTCCATGTGTTTCACTTTCATTAGACCTATTTTTTTTAAAACTATTATTATAAGCAAATATAGTCACTAGAGTTACTTTATGTGCCATAAAGAGAATAAAGAAAATAGCTTTATTCTAAAGCATATATGTACCTCAATAATGTGATCAATGTTACTGAATAGTATAACCAAGCAAAGTGTTGAACTTTTATGTCAGTAAAATTTGGCCAAAAAACATTTCAAAGCAATATTTGGAAACTATATTTACATACAAGTTGTCACGAGCTAAAGACGCCATTGCACTACACGCGCCAATACGAGGAGGAACTGAACAACTAGTGTTCATTTTACAATATATTGTGATTATTTATTTATTATATATTAATCAGTAATGAATAACATATTCAGACCCAGCTTAATCGTGGTAAGTATTGATTATTCCAAATTCATATTAGCACGCATGCAGACGTATTAGGTGATAATATTGACCATGATCTATTCTATGATTTTAGGTTAAACAACCAGGGTTTATTAGGAATATTTCGATAAGTTGTGCAAGGTATAAGAATTTCGATGATTTAGTTCATCCAGAGGGTCACGAACCGAATATACCACCTTATATTGAACGTGAAGGTGAAAATGCAACCCTAAAACGAGCTAGGTAATGTAGAATCATACACATTATATATTCACATTGTTGTATCTGTAGATGATAGTTCTTAAAAGTCAGTATTATTTCAGGCTTGTATATCAATCTCGTAAACGTGGAATGCTAGAGAATGGTTTGTTACTTAGTACATTTGCAAAAAAATATTTGGATGGTTTTAACGAGAAACAATTGCAGCAGTACGATCGTTTGATTAATTTACCTTCAAACGATTGGGATATATTTCATTGGGCCAGTGGAGTAAAGCCTACACCACCTGAATTCGATAATGAAATCATGAATATGCTAAAGGATCATTTGCAAAATAAGAATCGTGAATTAAGAATTATGCAACCAGCATTATAAACAATAAATAAAAGTAGTCATGAGTAGATTATTGAATAACTCATTTTTTTTGAAGGATTGTTTCAAATGATTTCTGCTTGAAATACAGAAAATAAATTATAGTTACCTATTTATATGTAGATAGATGTCAAATCGTATGATTGTTAATGATTAGTAATTCATTCAGAAATGAAGTATTATATAAATTAGTAGATACAAGTACTGACAAAGATACTGATTATGATTTTTGTGTACCTATTATAAATTATCAGATAACGTATATAAGAATTATACGTATGTAAAATAATTTAAAACAAGATCAGACTGTGCTGTAATGTAGTTATAAGAAATATTATTTAATATATAGTACAAAAGTTTTATTTCCAAAGAATGGTATTACAAAATAATAATTTTACACACAGAGTTTCCCTGAGTGTTTATAATTTACATAGTGCGCAAGATCGTTATATTTCTGTACAACGTTGTTCAACTAACATCAATCAAACATCAACATGATGCCACCACAGACATTTACCTTACCGAACACATGAGTACATTCATTAATAAATAATTATGCTTCGATAATAAATACACAAGACACTTGCGTCTAATTCAGACTAATATAACGATTAGGTTGTCCCACGTATTATTTGTTTACATAAAATGCATGAGGCCTGGTCCTGCACTATATTTTTTACCACCTCTAGCGCTTGAAACTTGTTTAGAGGTTGTTGTTTTAGTTCCTCTTGTACTATTAATTAATCAAGTATTTTAGAATCTCTTATAATTAATATTTCATTTTGATTTAATTACCTGGTTCCCGTGCGTTTGTACTTTTTAGCGCCACCGCGATACCCTCCAGCACTTTTCCGTTTCCTACCACGACCTCTATACGAACTAGAACTGGAAGTACTGACACTCCAGGAGTCAGAGTCATTAATATCCGGGTTATCATAGACCTCATTTATTTCATCTTCTTCTATATTGTCTTCACTTAGCAGAACTTTGTAAGAAATGAGGATTAGAAAACATCTCAACAATATAAAATAGTAACTAGTAACTTTGAAACTTACGGCATTGTTCAGCAGCATATCTTTGTGTTACATCTAACAATGCTTTTCCATATTTTTCAAAATTCGCTTTTGTGACATGAGGAATTTTTAACATAGCTTCCTCACTATCAGGCAATTGCTGACTCATTGCTCTTATCGCTATCATATTCATTATCGATGAAGCAGAAACGTCTAAAGCGCCTGCGATTCCTCTTATAATAGTTGTCAATTCTGTGTAACAACGACTCTGTAATTCTTGAAGAATTTTGTTCACTGGTTTTGTCACTGTCGACACTGTAGCCACAGATGTTGCTGTATTCTTTGTCAATCTTGTTGGAAATTCGATCTGAAGACAATGATATGTATACAAAATTCAAATGATTTTAGTTCTTTTATTGTATTTCCTTCCTTCATACCTTAATATTCTTATTTGTCATCAACTGTTCAGCTTTAGGTCCAATCTTAATATACGCCCATGCCATATCGTTATTAATACGCAAATCTTCCTGCAGATATTCATCTATTACCAACATATGCAATAATCGTTCTATGTCGTGTTTAGTCCACGATTTACCACGACCATACAGTGGATGATTGATAAGTCCTAACGGGATAAATTTCATTAGTAAATGATATTACTTATATCTACCAATAACAGTACCTGCTTCGCGAATTTTTTTAAGATCACATCCTTTAAAAATCTCTGAGAGAAAGATTAGAGTGAGATTGGCGCTTCTTTTTTGATTAATTTCTCGGACAGCCCTTAGTATAACTCTAGCATCATCCGTTACGTCAATCATTTTATATTGTTCCTTTAATAAAAATATAATAAGAGAACAAAATTATTGAAGCGAGTAAGTAACAAATAGAAAAACTTATTGTTACAACGACATACCTTATTTCTACAGTTGTCGCACGTAGTACTTTTGTTGGCTATACATTCCTCTTGCTTAAAAATTTCTCCAAAATAATTTAGCTGCAGGACTCTGCGGCAGTCTGTTTTATTTTCACAAAAAGCTACCATTCGGAAAAGATTGTTAATGTGTGTTTTTACCACATCATAACTAGACCCGTCACCCTCAATCATTTTTCGTAATCTGTGCATATCTGCATAGTGGTAAAATAATACGCAATCAGCATTCTCAAGGTCACGTCCGGCACGACCACTCTCCTGATAGTAACCCTCAATGGATTTTGGTAAAGACGCATGTATTACATATCGAACATTAGGCTTATCAATCCCCATGCCAAAAGCTATGGTTGCGCATATGACCCTAATCTATAGTACAAATTAAAGCAATTATTATCGCTTCAAAAAGAAAGATTATTAAAAATATTAATAATTAAAGGAAACATTAATTTTACCTCATCTGAAATCCAACGACCTTGCACGTCACTACGTTGTGTGTCTGATAGACCAGCGTGATAACTTAAAGCTTTGATATTATTTCTTCTCATATCGGTCGCATAAACATCGCAGTCTTTGCGCGAAAGACAATAAACAATACCACATTCATTAGGAAACTTAGTTTTTATCATTGCTATCACTTCTTCTGAACAATTTTTACCCTTTTTCGCTATCACACTATACTTCAGGTTGGGTCTGTTGAAGCTACACATGAACCTGTACAAAGATAATTTATTGTGTAAGATTTTCATTGGGAAACTTGTACAGTACTCAAAACATTAAATAACTAACCATTTTGGCTGTGGCATCTTTAATTGATGTAGAATATCAGTTCTGACTCTTGGAGTCGCTGTTGCTGTCAGTGCTATTGTTGGCACGTTTGGATATTTATTTCTTAGTACATTTAACTTTTTGTAATCAGGCCTAAAATCATGTCCCCATTGACTAACGCAATGTGCTTCGTCAATAACAAATCGCGCCAATAGATTACGTGAATACAAATTTGTTAAGGTATCACAGAATTTTGATGAGGCTGAGATTTTCTCAGGCGTTACATAGAGCAGTTTTATTACAACATCTTTTTTCGAGAGTTCTCTGTAAACCGCTCCTGCCTGAATTTCTGTTAAGGAAGTTGATATGTGCACTGCTGGTATCTACATATAAGAATAAATCAAAGTGAACATCATTTCGTTCATGCTATAATAATTAAAAATATTAAATTTTATATCGCAAAAGACTCACGTCAAGAGAGTTTAGCTTCTGTACTTGATCAAGGATCAGACTTTTTAATGGCGATATAACTATCGTTACACCTGGTGTTAAGAGAGCTGGTAATTGATAACAAAGTGATTTGCCTCCACCAGTTGGCATTAAAACAAAACAATCAAAGCCTAAAAGGGCAGCATTGATGGCTTGTAGTTGATTCGGTCTGAAGGAGTACAAACCAAACTTTTGCCTAAATATCTAAGAAAAAAAAATTAGATATTTAGAGTAACTTTAAACATGTATATATTATCTTGTTATTAAAAAAAATTATATTTACTTTTAACATTTCTCTAGAATGTGGATAGTCAAGACCATCAAATTCACCACTTGTACCATCATTTTTATAGTTGCCAGTAAAACATCCTATTTGTAATTTAGATACAGTGGGCACTATAGACGTATTAGATTTTGATTTTTGCTTATCTTGTATAGATATCTGGTTTACATTAAGAGTTTTGGTGTTTTTTGATTTTGATTCTATAATATACAAGTGGTCTATAAAATCTCTATAGAAGTAAAATTGTTTATAGCAATCCCATATTGATTACAGAAAATATTGTTGTACTGACCATTCAAATCCTTAGTATTTGCCATATAATAATCACTACCAAGTACTGGCATTTTTTTCAATTCCAATGTTAAAGAATCCTGCTTTACGAGTGGTGTAGAATTTGACATGTTTTTATACGAATTACTTTCTGGAATATATACTTGATTTGTAAATCATTGTATCGTTATTTACAGCCGAACGTCAACTATCGAAATTAAATTTTATAGCTTACCAAAACTATCGTCAATACTTTCCCAATCATTCACAATCGGTGGTGGAGTACTTGAAGATGTTGCTGACGATTTTGGTATGTACATTTTACTTTCCGTTAAATCATTGTTCTCAATGCTTGATTTATTGGAAGAACCGCTTAGAACAAGAGGTGTTTCCACTGATTTAGGACTACTTTTAATATCTGATGAATTGAGACTGTTTTTGCAATTCCTGTCCCAAATATCTTCAATTTTTTTACTCGGTTTCACTGAAAGGGTTCCTTTAATTGGTCTTTTCAGTGTGAAAGTCGTTTTATTTAGTACAGTAGATGCAGCTACGTTTCCTTCATTTTTGTGCTCATTTGAGTGGATGATCTTTTCTTGTGGTCGTTGCTGATGAACTGTTTGAGCATTTTGAATGCTACTTGAACGTTCAACCGTATTTGCATTGTTTATTCGTGTCTCTATGGGAGTGACACTGGGACTGTTATGACGCAGACTAAGAGGACTACTAAATTCATTTGACAAATTGTGTAAAGAAGTCCTGACTTTTGACTCCACAAGTTTTACTGGTGATGTGGGAATAAAGTCTTCATTGTCATCTGGGAATTCTGAATAGCTACAACTTAATGATTTATTTTTTTCCTCTTTAATTTTCTCTAATGTTTTCTCAGTACGGCGCATTTTCGCTTTCACGTGTTGACGTAATATTTTTAAGTTCACAAATGTTTCGCTATTAAAGTGGGGAAATTTTTCGAGAATTGGTAAAGGTATCCGATCGAAAGCAGTGTAAAATATCTCAAGTATATCCATTTGAATATCCTTTAATTTTTCGTAATTATCTTCCAGTTTGTCTTTTGTCGTCTGAAATTAAGTTAATATTTTATTTAGATAAGGTGATCGTAATTTAGTAGATTTCAATTTTTGAGTCATAAACTTACTGGTAAAGAAGACATCGTTGGGTCTTTTTTAATAGACTGAATCCAAGGATTTAATTGCTCATTTATACCTAATGGCTTTAAATCTACTTTAAAATCAGGACCCTTCCATTCTTTTCTAGCAGATGATTTTGGACTTCCTTTTGACTTGGGACTTTCACTTTCTGAATCTAGTATTATGGTACTCATTCTTTCTATTCTTGCTGGAGCTTTTGGCGGAGTAATTTGAATTTTACTTGTTAAATTGGGACTTTGGATTTTAGTTCGATTACGTAAACTCTCATATATTCCATTACTGTCCTTTGCTTCGTATCGCAATGACTTTGTATTTACATTATCATCACCTGTCATAAATAATTCTCTAACATGACTATTACCAATCTTTTCACTTGCTTGATTGATTTCAATTTTAGAATTTTCTTCATTACTATTGTATTCAAGCCTTTTATTGTCATCATTTCTCACTGTTGGTGGTGATGATTCTATAGGTTTTATTTCTTCCATATCATTTTCTATATCATCCTCGCTATCAGAAGGTATGAAGAATCTCTTTCTCACTTTCTCCATGTTTTTATTTTCTATGTCCACTGATACCTTGTTCCTTTTCTGTAATCTTTTCTTCTGTTCTATTGAATCTTCGACATACTGTACACCACTTTTCGAAAAACTATCACTCACAGTATCTTCTTGCAAAGAGTCACTTGAACTATCCTATGAACATCCATATATTAGTATTTAACAAAAGTGCATACAATTGAAATAACTTGAAGAAATTTAGTTCTGTCTTTCAAAAAAAATTGTCATTTACCAACGAAATAATAGAATCAAGTTGTTCACATTGTCTATTTACATGTTGCAATGGCAAGGAATCATCTTCATCAACTGACCCGTTCCACAAAACATTGGAATACAACTTGTGATTTTCTTCCTCATTTATACTAAAAAATCTTTAACTTAAAAATTAATCACCCTGCTCCTGCATTAGAAGTTAGGTTTGGATTATAACATGCTTGACATAATAGGAATATTTTTAAAAATGTTTAAAGAATATATGAAATAATAGTCAATAATATACAACAAAACCTAAAGTATGAAAACAATGATTTCAAATATATAATATTCTTTGAATGCTTATTTCTCAAGAGTTCTCACCTCGAATTTACCATGCCTGTTTTGTTTCGTAACTTCACTAAAAATCCTGTTATAGAGGCATTATTTTTCTCATGAAGTGGAGTCTTTTTTGGCATAATGCTTAACCTTCATCTAGCAAGGAGAAACTATGCAAAATATAACTATAAATATATTCATCTGCATTAACCTCAAGAATTAAAATATTATGTAATTGAAAATCTTACACCGCTATCACATTTTGTCATTTAGTGAGCGTTAATGACTTTATTAAATAAATAACACTGTGCAAAATTCAAAATAATCTCATCACAGAAATTTGCGGGATTTTACGTGAATCGAATTATATCGAATAGACGAAATGATATATCGTTTGAGGTTTCGATTTACAAATATAGAGGCCCGTACAATTATGGAATATGGAATGTACTTTAATTTTACATAAAGAATTTTACTCTGTTTCCACAACGTAATAACATTTCTTTATAGGTTCTTCCTTATCATTATGGGTTTACGTTTCTATTGAGTACAAATGTCACAATTAATTGGTATAGTCAGAGCTCATTGTTTAAATAAATAGTTTGAAAGTTCACACTGTTGTATTTATACCGCATACGAAAATGGTTACTTGTTTAGCCAATGAATAATTCGAATTCAAATTGTAGCCAATCAACATCGATATTGATTATTAAAGCGCATTTATTTGGTTTAACTATCAGTATAGTATTTCTATTTGGCGCGAAAATAATGTATAATTTTTGCATATGGTAGACCACGGATAATAGTTTTCAGTAGTTTTAAATGTGAAAAGCACAGACCGTTAAATGTAACGTAGAATAATACTGCAGTATTTATATCAATCAAAGAGATGTCTCAAAAACCAAAAATGTTTGTCGTGAAACGAGGTAACCAAGTTACTTCTCATTATTGTTGTATTAAATCATTCAAGATACGCGATTTTTTATTTACGTCTGCATATCAGTAAAGTATGAAAGCCACCTTATGAATAACTTTTAGATGGACGCATGGAAGATATTCATTTTGATAAAATAACGTCGACCATAAAGAAACTATGCTATGGTCTTGATATGGCTTATATTGACCCTGTAAGCCACTTATACTTTACAATAAAAGGATTTTCTTATGTTATATAATTTGCTTTTACGATTGCATTCTATTTTAGGTAGCAGTCACATCTCAAGTTATAAGGAGTCTATACGCAGGGATAACAACAATGGAGCTCGATAACCTTGCTGTTCAAACTGCTGCTATTATGACTATGGAACATGCAGATTATGCCATTCTAGCAGCTAGAATTGCAGTATCCAAATTGCATAAGGAAACAAAGGAAAGTTTCTGTGGTGTGTATATCAAAACCTTACAAGACTATAGATTTTCTGGCAAAATTTGATTCTTAGACATTATAATATTTGAAAAGTTTGTTCCTAACTTTCTATAAAAACGTTACAGATTTTTATTTTGCTATCACTTAACTTATAGGAAAAGCAGTAACAATTAATATTAATTGTATCACTTAATATCCCTTTCATATATTTTTTGCTTGATTAATTATTATTAAACTGTGTCACTGTAGTCTTATAGTTGAACAATCCAGAAGTTGCAATTTTCTAGAGCTGAAGTTTTTTTTTTAATGAATTTCAAAAACTATAAGAGGTAGAGTACTTTCAAAAAATTTTATTGATTACTATATATTTATTTGTATGTATGTCTAAAGTAGACTGTTTTTAATTTTCAGACGTTATGTCAGATTTACATTATGGTACAAATCCAGATTCCAAAATTTTTCAACCTATGATTAGTGAGAAGCATCATAACATTATAAAAGAACACTCAGCCATACTAAATTCTGTAATAGTATATGATCGCGACTTTGATTATAATTACTTTGGCTTTAAAACACTGGAAAAAAGCTTTTTACTAAAGATAAACGGCAAGGTTGTCGAAAGACCTCAGCATATGTTAATGAGAGTTGCTATTTCAATTCACGAAGATGACATTGAAAAAGTCATTGAGACTTACAATTTAATGTCCCAACGATATTTTATTCACTCTCCACCAACGCTCTTCTATGCCTGCAGTCCAACCCAACAAATGTCCAGGTAGAGTGATATACTTTTTTATTGTACTATCTCAAAAGATTAATGTATTATTAACTAGTTGTAGTCTGTAATTGATTAGATTCTCCATTGTAGCTCCTACTTGTTAAGCATGAGCGACGATAGTATTGATGGTATTTTTGAGACATTGACAAGATGTGCTATGATTTCAAGCTTCGATGGTGAACTTGGACTTAACATTCATTGCATTAGAGCTAGAGGCACTCGTATTTCTGGGACCAATGCAGATTCTAATGGTCTAATTCCAATGCTTAGAGTTTACGATGCCTCTGCTCAACAGGTTCGTCAAAGGCATAGTAGAAGACTTACAGCGAACACTATATATCTAGAACCATGGCATGCAGATATCATGGACTTTTTAGAGCTTAAGAAAAATATAGGCAAGTTACTCTGAATAATTTTTTTCAATTATATAACTACATAAATAGAAGTCCATGGATCTGTTACTAACAGGAAAGGCCGAGTATCGAGCTAAACATTTATCTTATGCATTATGGGTGCCTGATCTGTTTATGAAACGTGTCATGGCTGATGGTATTTGGAGTCTAATGTGTCCGCACGAATGTCCTGGTCTCTTTGACTCTTATGGCGATACCTTCGAAATTCTTTTTTTAAAGTACGTATGAAAGTATTATTCTGCTTTCCTTGCATTAACTTATTTCTATTCCTTGATTAGATACGAGAAAGAAAAGCGTTATAAGCGGCAGATACCTGCTAGGAATGTATGGTATGCCATATTAAAATCTCAAGTAGAAACAGGATTACCTTGTATGCTGTATAAAGATCATTGTAATCGGAAATCCAATCAGCAAAATTTGGGGACTATCAGAGGAGGAAATTTCTCTGCTGATATAATACAATATACCGATTGTGATGAAATAGCAGTCTGTAACTCAGCCTCGATAGCAGTGAATATGTTTGTTAATGCGACTGACAGGACGTATGATTTTGAGAAGTTAAAAGATGTCACAAAAACTGTAACACGAAATTTGAATAAACTCGTCGATGTGAACTGGTATCCAGAAACTGTTTCCGAAGCGAAAAAATCACACTTGCGTCACAGGCCCATAGGTATTTAATGAATGTTAAAAAAAAGTGTGTGACATTATTCATCATAGCACAAAATTTTAATGTTTAAATTTTTACGTGCAGGTATTGGAATACAAGGTTTGGCAGATGCATTTATTTTAATGCGTTATCCATTCGAAAGCGAGGACGCTCAAAAACTTAATATTCAAATTTTCGAAACTTTGTACTATGCTGCTTTGGAGGCAAGTTGCGAAATTTCTCAGAATGAAGGGCCATATTCATCTTATGAAGGATGTTCCGTTCATAAAGGTGTAAGCATGCCGTTATCTGGATTAAATGTTTAAATATTTATGTTAGATAAAGATGTTGCATGTAAGATTTTTTTCTGTTGTATTTGTATCTAGATATTGCAGTATGACATGTGGAATGTGAAGCCGACAGAATTATGGGATTGGACAACTCTTAAAAAAAAAATTGCGAAATATGGGGTTCGCAATTCTTTACTAATCACATCAATGCCTACGACGTCTACTGCTCAAGTTTTGGGAAACAGCGAATCTATTGAACCTTATACGAGCAACGTGTATACCACACGAGCATCATCTGAAGAATTTCAATTTATAAATCCCTATCTCTTGAGAGATCTGACAGAGAAAAATTTGTGGAATGTTGAGATAAAAAATAAGATCATCGCTAATAATGGCTCGATACTAGTTAGTAAATAATAAATCTGCGCAATATTTATTGCTGTTTTAAAAGAATGACTGTTGTTATTTCGGTAAAAAATAATCTATGAAATTTGCCCTGTAGAACGTCCAAGGTATTCCTGAGGATTTAAAGAATTTATATAAAACGGCATGGGAGATTCGACAGAAAATTATCCTAAAAATGGCTGTTGATCGCGGAGCATTTATTGATCAATCACAATCATTGAATATTTACATGGAAAAGCCAACGACAGAGAAGCTCACTTCGATGCATTTCTACGGTTGGGAAATGGTAAGTAATTTAATGTTCGCAAAATACAATTTAGGACTGAATTAATTTGAAAGTTACATAATTGTTATTTTTCTAAAAATGTTTTACTCCTAAAAATGGAAATCTATGCTTCAAGTCAAGGTCAAATCTAAACGTCTTATAAGATTTAACGACTATCACAACGAAATATCAATTCCATGCAATTTCGAAATTACTCTGTCGCAAAAAATAATATACTGCGATTTAGGATCTTAATTGTGAGAAATTTTGCAGTTTTTCTAAATCTCCACTTGACGTGCTTTAAGCACCTCACAAAAACTACACCACGAGTGATCTGATTGATTTGCATTGTTTGTATTTCATATTTTTAAATAAATATTATTATATACAATTATTTTATAGGGTTTGAAAACAGGAATGTACTATCTACACACGAAACCTGCAGCAAATTCCATTCCATTGTCGTCTGATAAATTTTTGCAAACAAGGATCTCTCCTCCCTGTGGAAGAAACAAAGGATTTGAATCACCGTTGTAATTAAAGAGAGTTTCAGCAGAACAAGTCATCGAAGTATAGGAACAAACTAATGAGGAACCAGATGCAGTTCATGAAATAAAATGGCGACGCATTGTTACAACATGTGAACTTTAAATTATGAAAATTAATTGTATCCAATGCGCAAATTATTTTATTTGAATGTGTTTGCTTTTGAGTGTATAATTATATAATTTTGATAGTATATAAAATAATTACATTTATATTACAACAAAATGACAGATCATTATAATAATAATTTTACTAATTTCATTATTGAAATCCAAATACCCCTGATAACCGATATACAAGCACGCAGCCTATGACACACATTTGACTTCAAACTGTGTTCATATTAGGTGTACATGTTGTCGTCGCACCTAAATTTGTCTACTGTCACCATTTTACTACTAAACAGAGGTACATCATAGAATTTTATAACCCCCATTATATTCGTAAGAGTAAGATTGATTTAAACTTTTTCATGTAGGTCCAGAAATGGATACTTGGCAAAATATAGAGGATGCATCCTTCAATAACTCGAACCAACCACGGACAAAGAACTATGACGAGGAACACCTAGATCCCAGAAATTACAGTCAGGAACACGTAGAATTATTAGAAGTTGAAATATTGGTATAAGTATTAGAAAGTGAAGAATTAGTGGTGGAGGCGAGCACCAACCGGGGTAACCCGAAGATTGGGGACTTGATATAACTACGTGCATAGATGAGGATCTTCCATTCTTCCAAGAGCCGATCTCCTATACTGGGTTCGTGGACATTCTCATTTTATCCCATTTCTCTTTATTTCTTGCTTTCGTTTTCTCCTTTTTCACATTCTCTCTCCCCCGCCCACCCTCCTACCCTTCCAATGTCACTGCCTCTCCCTGCCCCCCCTCACACTCTCACTCTTTTCAACTCATTTCGTTTCATTCCTTACTACTTTATTTTTCTCTTTCTTCCCTCATTTCAGGTATCACCTGACTTTGCATTCTCATATCTTTTCTACGGTTTCACTCTCAGTCCGCCATTCTTAATTCCCAGTCTTCATTTATTTCACTTTTCACTTATCCGGAAAATCTACTCTTAATGGTAAATATCTAGCTATAGTCTTAATTTTAAAGTCTTAAGTTGAATCTCAGTTGTGTAACTATTGTATGAATTGGAATTTTAACAAAAATGCTCCCGAGGAAAATACAATTTTGGGACCATCGGGAAGTTAGCGTCAAAGGATAAAAATTTATGTTTGTGATGCCTAAAAAAATGGTCTTTAAATCCTCCTTATGTTTTCCTAATTACTTTGCTACTGTAATACAATGGATAAAAAATATTTATTAAAATAGAAAAATATTCATGTTATTGCTTTTCTAAATAACCAAGCAGATTTTCAATGATTTTCTTAATGAATTAATTGCTCTCAATTTGCTCCATTTCCCTCCGCAATTTGTTTTTAATTTC